CGCGCGTCCCGCCGCGCCGCCCCTCCCTTCTCTTCCCTCCGCAGGAGCGGTGCCCACCGCGCGTCCGTGGGCTGCGCCAGCACCCCCGCTGCCCCCGGGCAGCACCTGCGGGTGTTTTATAGCCCCTCGCGGCATCAAGGGAGGGCACGGACAGGGGCTTTTTCCACGGAAACAGGCCACTGCGAGAGCAGCCCCAGACAACGCAGCGTAACAGTGTGATACGATATGATATAATATCGCAATATCTAAAGCTCAGCGGGGCGCTCGCTCACCCTCGCGCCCTCAGCAGCAACGCGGTGGTTCTGCGCAGGGCGCGTTCCGGGCTCCGGCGTGTCCCGCCGCGCAGCCCCGGGCGCCGGGCGCGGACACTCGGCCTTCTCAGCCCTGGGCGTCCTCACACCGGCGGAATCGGGACACGCGATTCATCACCAGGCTAGAGTAGCAAGACTTGCGCGCGTGGTGGATTGTGTTCCTGTGGAATGGAAAGCTTCCAAAGTGACTTACTTGATTAAAATATCTAAATTCAAAACATTACATGGTGGAATAGACAGGAATTAAAAGTTATTTTTAGTACTGTGCTATTTTAAGTACTATTATATATACCACAAAAGTCATTACTACTGACTTTTTAATAATTTTTTTTTTTCATTATAGTAGCAATTTGCAATGACGTATCACACCACTGCCCCTTCCATCTTAGAAACTGGAAAAGGGGGAAGAATAACCATCTGTAAACCCGGAATTAAGGTCCAAGTAGTTAATTTTCTCTACACCTAACTTTGCGTCTTAAATAGCACATTCTATGTCAATTATGAAATTATGTAAGTAATGAAACATATGTTTAAAGTTAGCAATGTTTTTAGGTATTTAAGCTGTATTTTTAAGTATAAGACAGTCTATGCCTCTTTACTATTATACAGAGAATAAATGAAATATATTTAAAAATTAAGCACTATTTTTCCTGTTATTCTCAGGCCTACATTTACATGTGGAGGAGTTGTATCTGGAGAGTCAGGGTTTATTGGGAGTGAAGGATTTCCTGGAGTCTACCCTCCAAACAGCAAATGTACTTGGAAAATCACAGTAAGAATTTTTAATATCACAAAATGAGTGCTGAAGACAATGAAGAGCTATTCATTGTTAATGCCAGTGTTTTATATGGGATAATATGTGCAATAATGAACTCAGTAACTCAGAGCAGCTCAACTATCTGGAGCTTTTGAGGGTTGCTGTAATATGGTAATAGCAGCTGAAATAGAACGGACCTTGCCTAATGTCAGAAGCAAATTTTCAATGACTTCCATTGATACACCTCTAATTGTTTTAAATTAACCCACTTGAAAGCAAACATTTACCTTTCTAGTTGCTGCAGGAAGCAATAGTTAGTTAGGTCAAATGAAGTAAAGTAAAGCTTTGACATGTAGATAATGAAAAGCAAAATTCATTAGCAAGAAGACATAGAAAAAGTTTCAAACAAAACCAGAAAATTCAGGCAGGTTTGCCTGTGGTGTGCTAATAACAGCGTCTGCCAGCCAGGCCATCTGGAGTATGTCATAGAGCAAGCTGACAAAGCAATAGGAAAGTGTTACTACATTTTAAAATGACCATGTGAAAGTTTGTGGTACGATTGGTATTTTGATGCTGAAATGAGACTGCAGGGCAGAGACATCATATTCATGGACAGCAAACGCTGTTAAACAGCGAGGGCTGAACACTTCGGTGCCGGATGTGTCCTCACCCACAGACTCAGAGAAAGGAATCTGAATGAATGATTACTTTTCCTCACATCTGCACAAATTAGGCCCTCCAAAATTGCCCACCAAATTTCCTCTCCATTTCTTTAGGCACAGATCACTAAGAACTCCTGTGATATTTGGGCCTAGAATATGGGCTTTACAGAAAAAAAGTAGTATCAGAAAGCATAAAAAAATAAATTAGTCTGTGTGTTGACAGGATCACTAAAGACAACTCCAGTTCCAAGACTGCATTACCGGCTAGGTGTTGGTAGTAGAATAGGGTGTCACAGGATAATTGTCTCCTGCTACTGTAGAGATGCTGACGCAAAGCAAGAGACATTGATCTGTTTACATGTTCAGTTAAAACAACTTTCGTACCAAACAAGTGATGTTTTTTTTTTTTTTCCTGTATCAAAAATGTACATATACTTATCTGAAGGATACCAGTGAAGCTGCAACAGTTGCTTTCTGCACCTTTATGTTGCATGATTATTAGGGCCAAGTTAGAGGGGCCGAGTTAGAGGCCTTTAATCTGTGACTGACTTTATCTAGAAGAGTATGATGTGAAATACAGTGATAATAAACTTGCTTCCTGCTGTGTGAAGAGGCTGAGATTACAGCAATTAGCATGGCCCACTTTACAATCTGAAGAGGAGGCACAAATTGCGTTTGGAATCATACACACATGCCTTAAATAAAAGGGGGCAAAACCCCCAAAGTTAACTTACGATATAGCTCAGTATTAGATATTTAAAAGTTAAAAATTGAATCTGGAGGGAAATAATAACTTTGATTATAACAGCATAAAGTTTTTACTATTAGAAATTTGGGGTTACAAATGGAGGCAGCACTGAAGAAGCATTTACTGAAGCATCCTATGGGTCTGCCTTTCATGATATATCGGGGTAGAGGGAGAACAATTGTATTTAAAGAGTCTATATGGAGTGGTTTCATTGCACACTTAAATGTGGCTGTTGCCAACAAGATGCAAGCATCCAGGTTAGCCTGGACATTGTGAGAAGCGTTACCACAAAGCTGCAGCAGAGCCGTGTCTGCACTTGGGCTTCATTGACCATGGGAGGAACTCGATGGCTTCTGGTATTTCATAATCATCCTGACTCCCACTTTTCTGTTCTGCTGCCATTTACTCCTGCTCTTTGACTGCTGCATACCTAATTCTCTGTAGCTCGCCCAAAGCCAGAGAAGGGCTGCTCAACTGTAGTAGTCCAGGCTTTCTTCTGCTCCCACCTCAATTAACCCCTCTTCGACAATACTGTTCACGAAGCCAAGCCCATTTTTTTTTCCCCGTCAGCTGTGAAGAATGCCCTGTCTTTTGGATGCGCAAGGAGGACGTAGGGAAGGCAAGGACTACAAAACTTGCTAAGTCTGCATCCTCTTTAAAAAGAGGGTGATTTACCAAACTGATACACTCAAGGGTCTGGTTAGCCTGAATTTAAACAACAAAATCCTCTCACCAGATACTGCTGAGGCACAGAATAGCTTGAAATAGCACTCAAGTAAGAAGGCCATTACACTGCCATGAAGAAATATACTGTAGTTACTATGTTAGGGTTCCTCATTTAGCATCTGATCTTAGAAGGTGACTAAGACTTTTTGCCTGTCTGTTTTAGCCAAGGGCTCTGAAAACCTTCCTGAAAACACTTTGTCTAATGCAGGATCTGACAAGTCTGCAAGACTGGAAGAGACATTGATTCACTTTGTGTCTGGGTCACGAGAAGCATGAAGCTGTTGTTTTCTCAACTAGAAGATATCATCATCTATAGAAGAAATTGACAGTGAAGCAGTGACAGCTAATGCATTCTTTAGAAGAAAATAGGTTTAGAAAATGTTATGGGTAATACAGATAAAGCAATGTAGCATTCGGGTATCAGCTGAAATCATTCCAACTGGTATGCTAAAGCTAGAAGAGTCTCTCTAACTCAATTATGGTTCTGTTATTTCAAGAGACGGATTTTTTCAGCTAGCTAAAGAAAACAGCTTCTCTATTCTGAGAGCTCTAAGAAGTGTTCAGCACATGCTTGTGGTTATATTACAACCTTGGCAGACTACCCAGCAGCTTTTAGCTGGCTTTGCTAAGAAGTAATTTGTACAGCTATTTCCTTTCCTATAGTAATGTACATAGCTTTATCTAAAATATGTCATATACATTTACTTTTAATACTTCATAATCCTTCTTGGCCATCACCTCACATAAATGTGTCACATAGTCCAAGAATCTGGACTGCTGTCCTGCATTCTTCTGGCAGACTCTGTAGTTCCCATAAAACTCTAACAACTTTATGTGCAACAATAATACTGAAGACTGTCAGAGTTATCTAAGGTTATAGTTTTATAGATTCAGGAGCTTTGTTCCAGCAGGTTTGCTGACAATGAGCAAGGTTTGAAAAAATTATTTATCAGGGTAGTTGGGAATCTGCCCTGGGGGAGTGAAATATTTTAAATCATTTTCTCTACATTTTAAGTATTCATTGTCGCATATCGTTGTGAAACTGCCCTTCCAGCAGAGAACAGATCTTTACACATGATTATTGCCAGAAAAGAAGTAGCTGAGCAGAATCTAGTGCCTTTGTCAGGGAGAGCAAGCTAAGATCAATTTTTAAAAAAATTGTTAGTTTGTGGCTGGAGAGGATGGAGCTAGGGAACAAGACGCTAGGTAGGAACTGTGGTTCCTTCCAGGATGCAACTCCAAATAACTTCCACATCAATTCTTAGTACAGAGATATAATATGTTTGGCTTGCAGGTAGCTGCTGTATTTTTTTAAGTCTTATCTAGGTCTGCTATGTCAAAAATACAATCAGCATTTTGGCATTAAATATATACCAAAATATATTAAAGTGATCCACAATATACATTTTAAAATTAGGCAAATATTTTCTCAGAAAGTTGGCATTTAAGGGTTTTTCTCCACCAAAAGATTATTTTCAAAGCAAATAATCTAAACGAAGTACTTTTGAAAAGTACGACAGTTTGACAATCCTCCCCAGAAATTGAAAGAAGCACAGTGATGAAAAGGGCTTTGTGTTCAGTTAGAACAACAACAGAAAAACAGCTTAACTACTTTAAACGTAAGTGAACTTTGGTTAACATTATATGAAATACCTGCAATGAAGGATAACCAAAAAAAATCCAGGGACCTAATTTTGTAGTGGGTTGTATATATAAAATACTCATGCTCTTTTGGAGAGGTTAATAATCTACATGGATGATTTTAGGCAATTATGTTCTAGAAAAATGTTTATGTTCCCCCTAAAAATTCAGAGCACTCTTTTCCTTTAGCCTTCAATAGGAGTAAGGCATCCTTCACATGAGTTTAGTGTCATAATACCTGATTATAAAGAAGTTCATAGAGTTAAAATAAGAAGGGAAGCAAAGGGCAAGTATGGGTCAGTCACCCTCAGTGTGACAAGGAGAGACAGAAGCTAAAGTGCCTCTGTCATTGAAAGATACCAGCTGGATGAAAAATAAGGCACACCCTGCAGGGGAAGCATCACATATTCTTCCTTTGACTCCTCTCTCTCTCTTTTTTTTTTTTTTTCTTAAGAGCTGCAATTCCTTCCAATTCTTCCTCTGAGGTATCCCATCATCTTACTGCATCAGGCTCGGATGTGGCTCAAAGTAAACAATACTGAGTCATGTTGGCCTTTGCTTTCTCCCCTGTGTTTCTCATGGAGCAATATTTTAAATGTCCTAGGATAAACATTGGCAGATTTTAGCACATTATTTTTCAACATTTGATAAAGGAAAATGGTAGAAATGAAAGAAAAGTATTGTTTTGCAAAGATGCTTTTATTTAGGGTGGGATTCCTTGGGAGTAGCTGCAAACTGGAGCAGCGGCTGCCAGAATGTGGAACCACTATCCTCTGCACTCTTGAATGTCATCTGGTCAGATGACAAAGTTTTAATTGATTTAACATGCTGAAACAAATTTGTTATTTTTGTCAATAATGACAAATATTATTTTAATAAGCAATGATGTTATTTTATAAAGTAGTAGCAGTAAGTAGTGACTGTGATTAAGGGACCCAGTTCACACATTTCTGTAAATGACTTATCTCCCCAAATTCAGCTAAATGTGAGCAGGGATTATTCTGACAACTAAAATCTGGAGTAAGCTCCTTGTTAAGCATTCATGACCACGTGGCTGAGGTTTTACAAACTGTCATGATACAAAACTTAGAATTTCAGTATATCTTTGGGGAACAGTCTTGACCAAGATCAAGACTAATGGATGCTAGAAAAATTAAAAACTATAATGAAATATAGCATATAGATAATGTAATGTAGCATAGTATAACATAGTCAGTGGTGGAGAGAGGAGAAGGAAACCTACAACACTGCACAGAATTACTTATACCATGAAACAAAACCCAACGCTTGAATGAATGGTTGGCTGGCAGTTCGGAGTTTGGCTGCTTTGCCAGCATCCTGTCCCCCTTGAGCGTGGGTCAGCCCCATGTCCTGCTTCCTCATGCCCCACTTGGGGCAGCATGAGAGAGGGAAAAACCCGGGGGTAGGACTGGGTGCTGTGAGGCTGGTGTGAGCAGAGCAGCCTGCCTCAATGTGCTCATGGAACAAAGCTGTCAGTGAGCACCCATCAGCATTACTGAGGGATAACCACTTGGCTAAGTCTGAATGCATTTCTACAAGGATAGCAAAAGGCCCTTTTCTTAGCCTAGAACCAGCCACCTCTCACATTTCAACTTCCTTCTTCAAACTCTGGGAGGGAGTAGGTGTCTTCAAAGAAGCAATTCAAACTGAGAAAGTAGGGAAAAATCTCGTAAGTGCTGACAAAACTATTTAATGTAATATGGTAGAACAACTTCTCAACTTTCAGAAATACTGGAAGGAAAAGGGGAAGATTCTTAAAGATAGGTAAGTTGTAGCAAAGCTGCAAGACACTGTCAACATATTCCAACAATATTGGAAAATGCTGGACAATCTTAACTGTAGGCATAACAGCTCAGTCTGTATTAAAACATGATAACCTTTAAAAGTCACCTCATTTGGATCCTGTTGTACCAGTTGTACAAACTTAATGAGTGAGCATATGTTATTTTACATAAGGCTGCTTTAATTTAACTGCCTAAATCTGACTTTATCTAACTTTACAGCTAGCATTTTTAAACTGATTTATCTGGTCACATAGAGTTTGTAGTATAACCCTAAATAACATTCAGGTCTTCTGACAAGAATATCAAATTCCTTTTAGCTTTTTTTTCTGTTAAAATGACCACGTCTTAATGCTTCTTAGTGATTCAGACCAGAAGACAAGTGAATGCAATAATATGAGATTGAGTTACGAGAGCAGTGATTCAAGGAGTCATATTGCTTTCACAGAACATATTGCAATATAACCATGTGTCTGTATCGGCCTTATGCTGACTAAATATATATGTGGGTTATTTTCTGATAGCAGCTGTAGGGCTTGCTTACTTCTATAGCGTGGAGTTTTAAACCTAACATCTGGCTTTAAAGTTTTTTAAAACATAATCATTGTGCTTTGGAATTTCTGGGTGAGATTAGATGAGTTTTGTGGTTTTGATGTAGTAGTAGGGATGTATGTCAGCACAGAGGAACTGAATGCATTTTTGAGAGAACTTTGACCAAGGATTAAAGGAAAATACTCTGAAACCAGCAAGAGGAACTGCAGTGGGGTTGGTCAGCCAGTGTGTACGTGGGCCCTGGGCAGTTGAAAATAGCTCATGCAAAAGTCTGTCCTGCTGCAGGATTGGTATCAGCACTGGATGTAAAAGCAGCCACATGAACGGGTTACCTAAACATATCTACAGCACATTTTTCACTACAACCAGAGCTGCTGCCTGTATTCGTGTCTTCTGTGGATTAAGCAGTCACTTCCATATATAGCACTTCCATCTAGATTTGACAGGCATTTTTAACTGTTGAAACTTACAGAATTAAAACACCGTTTGACAATTTCATATAGGAACAGTTTAGTTGTAGTTTATCTCAAACTGATATTTTAAAATGAGTCATTGTTAGGAAAAAATTCATGAACTCTTAAATAAAATGGATTGAATACGGACTTACTGCTGATATATTAAGTGTATGTTATATACTTAAAGCAGAAATAGCAGTGTCTCAGTAAAATAGAACAGCTGCAATTATTTTAATAGGTAACCACTCTACCAGGCTATGAATTGAATGCAGAGAATGACACTCTGCCTGCCTAGGGTCCCTCTATACTTTATGATTTCCCTTCTTCTTGTCCTGTTACATGGTATTGAGTGTTTTGTTAGAATAGTTTTCATTTCTCAGTGTGCTGCTTATTCTCTTAAAATCTTGCAACTCTGTCTCAGGAAATGTTCTCCTCCTTGTAAACTATTATGCTCTCTTAATTTACGTCCTTCTCAGTACACTTGCCTCTTTCACAATGTCCACAGATGCAAGCATGTAAGAAGATTGGCCCTGTCTTAGGTTTCCTCAGATGTTTCAGAAAACAAAACTCTTTTCTGTACTGAGGACACCCACTAGTAGTCTTTTGAACTCTCCATTTATAGTTTTACTGCAGCCTTCAAACTAGAAGTACACACTCCAATAGCTAAACATGAGAGGTGTACAGCATTAGCCATAAAGTTTCCAAATTTATTTATAAATGTAAGTCATGTGTCAGTAAATAAAAATCCTTCACACTATGAAACTTTATAGCACAAATCAGCAAGATAAGAGACCATTTCGTTTGCTCAAAATTGTAAATTGCTCGTTCTGTATTTTTTTTAACCATATTAATCTCATCCTCCTCACCTTAGTGACAGGGAGCTGCATGGTCGATTGCATACTTTCAGCTGAAGATAAGAGCAACATGCCACGCTGAACCAGGTGGTGATGGTATGTAATCAACTATACGAGCCTGGCGAGACAGTATTGTGGATGAGGAAGAAGAAAATGGCAACAGAGATGGGCAGAGCTTTGGTTTTTTTTGATTGGTCCAATATGGTTTTAAAAACCACTGTGTCTGGAGTAAAGCTGACAAAAAGAGCTTACCTGGTGAGAAGTGAAGGATATGAAAATACTTGTGCAAATAGTGGGATGAGATAGGTATGTGGTGTGGGTCACACTTCAAGATACATCTCTCCCTCCTTCTCTCTCTCTCTCTCTCTGCAGGTCCCAGAAGGAAAAGTGGTGGTTCTTTCTTTTAGACATTTAGACCTGGAAAGCGACAACTTGTGCCGATATGATTTTGTGGATATATACAATGGCCATGCCAATGGACAACGCATTGGCAGGTTCTGTGGTACGGTGAAACCAGGTGCCCTTGTATCCAACAGCAATAAAATGTTGGTGCAGATGACTTCAGATGCTAATACTGCTGGAAGTGGATTCATTGCGAAGTTTTCTGCAGCAGAACCACATGAAAGAGGTAATTAACAACTACATATGTGCTGAAGAGAAATGTAACTGTACAACTGTATGGAGAGCCACATTAATGCTTAAAAAGATGTAATGCCAGAGATACTAGAGATTGTGCTGTTCAACATATTAATTATCTTGCTTAGCAAATAGCAAAATATAACTGTTTATCTGTTGTAGTTAATCGTAGTAAAGAGGAGGGCTAACTATAGGAAGAGTTGCAGAAGAACTGCACCTAGTAGTAATATGGTAATAGCTAGTCAATAAAATGGCAGATGAAACTCAATATAGATAAATATTGCAAATAAGGGGAAAACACCCTAACTTTATCTACAGTACAACAGGCTCTGAATTGATTATTACCACTGACGAATGAGATCTTAGGTTTAAAATAGACAATTTATGAAAACAGTGGTTAAGCATCAATCCAGCACTCAATAGGTATCAAAAAAGAAACAGAAACGTAACAATTTTTCAAAAAAGGAATAAAGACCACAACAAAAAATTATGCCACTATAAATCCATACGTCTTGAATACTGTATGCCATTCTGATGTTCCCATCTCAGAAGAGGATATAATAAAACTATCAGAAGCAATCAGAAACAAAAAGTATGACAGAGTTAAGGAACAACTTCTCCACAAAGACAAGCTGCACAGCGTGGACATCTTAATGCTAGAAAAGGTCAAGGGAAATATAGGAGAGAGCTCTAAAGTCATGATAGATATGGAGAAAGTGAATGGGGACCACAGTCTCTGTCTCTTCTAGTACAAAAACCAGATGAGCAAGTGGCTGCAAAGGAAAGGAGAGGGTGATTTTTCTCAGTGAGTTGTTAAGCATTGGTACTCTGTGCCAGGGGATGCTGTGGATTGTCAATTTCTACACTGGTTTAAAAACAGTTAGAAAAACATATAAAATAAAAAATTGTTAGGTATTATTAAACATAAAGGCAGTGCCTTGTGCTTGGGAAGGCCGTGAACTGCAAGCGGCTGGAGGTTACAGGGAGGTGGTATCTCCCTGCTGAGCGACTCTCTTTCAAGGCTTTTGCTATTAGCACGATACCAGACTAGACGCGTTGTTGGGCAGATGCGCTGCAGGTGATGAGCGACTTATTAGTCCTTCCAGTTGTATCCCTGTGTTGATAACTTCTTGAAAGATAAACAACTATGACATGATAGAGTTAATTTAATAAAGAAGGTTCATAATCATATTATAAATAGAGATTACATACCTGATGTAGCTTTGTAACTTGGGACTGAGAGGAGGAGGTAATGGAGGAAAAAACCCCTCTCCACCATGGACTCTCCGCAGCCCTGCTCCAGCACCTGTGGCTCTTCCTCCTCCCACACCTGCTGTTGACAGGAATGCTTCTTGCTCTTTTTTGTTTTACCCCCTTCTTCATCTATGTCTGGCACTTTCTGCCCTTTATTAAAGATGCTTTCACAGAGGTGCTCCCAGCCGCGCTGAGGGGCTCAGTCAGCCATGTCCTGTGTGGGGCCATGGCAGGACTGGCCAGGATGGGCCATTCCTCCCTCACCGAGGGCATTAGTGGGGCACCCGCCACCCTGCCGCGCTCGGTCAGCACCATGTGCTGTGCTCACAGGGGACCAGTACTGCGGGGGACGACTGGAGAAGCCGTCGGGGTCCTTCCAAACGCCCAACTGGCCAGAGCGGGACTATCCAGCGGGAGTCACCTGCTCCTGGCATATCGTTGCACCGAAGAACCAGGTAAGGTGCTGCATGCAGGTACGGCTGCGTGCGGGCATACCGCACTCCAGCCATGCCCACGTGCCTCCTGTGCGTGGTCTGCCTCGCTCCAGTAACTCCTGTGCTCTCTCAGCACTGTGTCCTCTTCTGTGCATTGACACATTCCCCTAGGTTAAACTGTTTAAAGCATCTGCGATTGGTGAGGCTTTTAAAAGTTTTTTTTTTAAGATTATTTTTTTAATAAGCAAAACATCAGGCAAATTAAGTTAGGGCAGGTGATCATCTCACGAGCCAAACATGATGATGACCGATGCTAGGTTTAAGTCTAACAACATTTGTAGTATTGTCAGTGTTACTGCAGTTCGTTATTGAGGTACCCAGGCAGAGCTGATTGAATTTATTAAAAGCAGAACTTATTTTACTCTGCTTACAGTACAGGGAATATATCTGGATGTGTCCTGCACAGGGATTTTTAATGTACATTTCATAAAGTTTGCTTTATTTCATATTTTGATGTCTCTACCTCATAACATACTTGCTTAATTAGCCAGATGCCATCAGAGCACATATTACCCACTGCATTGACCTGAAGAGACGCAACAGTGGACCAAGAGGGCTTATTTGCCACACATGGCAAACACGAGTGTGTTCCCTGTGCTGTAGGGCTGATCTCAATCCTAGCTTCACACTTTCTGGTTGTTGCTGAGCCATTTGCTCTGTACCATGGCAGGAAGTCTACAATGATTGAATGTTTTGGTCACCAAGCATGTTTGGTAGGTTGCTTTTCTTAACCACATCCAGCTTTTTAAATTGCTCTACATGTAAAGACAACTTTCCTCTTAATCTTCTGCTCATGACAGTAAGCCTCCAAATAAAAAAACTGCCCCAGATAAATATATTCTTCAGATCTTTCATACTTTTCCATTTACAAAGATATTTTCTCCCTTGAACTGAAACAGTATGTCAGCTTAGTCTTTCCTGTACTCCTCTTTGATCCACATTCCTTGCTTGCTAGATACAGGTCATTTAACAATCCTGTAGATAGGCAGTGATTTTAAAGCCTTATCTGTAAACTGCAGATTACTTTGGTTCTTCCCAAATATCTCTAGATAAGCCTAAAAACTTTTCCTAAGCTCGTAGAGAAGATTTAAGAAGGGCTATATAAGCATAAAAATAAGGGCATTATATACTGTGCCTTTTGAAGATCCTGTTCCAGAAATCTACAAGGTTCCAAATATATCTTTTTCATGTACTGCAACAGTGGTTGGTTGCATGCAAATGAGGCAGAATTTTGACAGTGACAAAGCCAATTTTGAAGAAGTAGTGAAGAAGCATCTCTCTTTAAGCACACAGGAAAAGCTGTTTGCTCCTCCATTTGCCAAAGTTTGGGTGCCCTTGTCTCTATTTTCCCTTCACAAGCATGGGAGCAATAAAACAAGGCACTCTCTTGCTTCTAATACAAACCAATAATTACTTCATTTATTACAGAAGACAGAGGAGGCTGCTTGTGACAGTGAAGAGCTTCTATTCCATCATTAATTACCTCTTTATTAGTACACAGTGCACTTACAGACAATAGTAAAGTAGATATTATGGACTGCTGTTTAGCCTGCTATGAAAAAATTAGCATTTCTGCTCCCAGTTGCATTACTTCTTTCTATACCCTTTTTTTTTGATCACAAGCATATTATTCAGATGGGTACTTCCATTTAAAGTGCATTTTTTTCATCATGACTACAAGATTTTTGAAACAAGCCTGTTACTCATCTCTGAAACCAAGTCCCCTAGGTTATTCATACTTTATGGGAAACTAAATGATGCCTTACACATCTGAATAGTGCAAAAGCATATCCAGGCAAAACCAAGACATCAGGTGATAACAGGCTATCATTACTATGAATGTAGAACAAAATAATTTTTACTATTTCAATGTCAGGTAAAATGTATGCGATGTACAAATAACTCCTTTTTCTTTGTACAGTCTTAAAAGATTTAACATAATTTTTGAGACCTTTAAAGAGAAATCTTGCTTATTTACTATCAGCACATTTCAGTGTTGTCATTCAAGCTGCATTTGTGCTGTTTATGGGAAGGTGATTTAAATACCGTTATGCTTCATACAAAAAAGCAACCTACATGCATGTATTACCTCTTTTTCAATCATGTAGTTAGGTTGTGTTTTCCTTCCTTGCTTCACACAACTGACAGAATCATACTGCAGGACTTCGTTTCTGTTTTCTTGTCCATTGTTTTTCTTTCTTAAGTAGAAAAGTCCATAAATACAAGTCATATTGGAGATAATAGCATCAGTACTGGAAATACCAGACTTATACTAGTTCTCACTTATGACTTGTAAAGCCCCAATATTTATGAAAATCATGTATGGAAACACAATTCCCTTAACTACTTCCTTTCTCTTGGTTTTAGTTGTACTATTTACTAATTTTCCTTGTATCAATATTTTTGTTTCTGACCTTTTTATTTCTGCATCAAGTAAACACAGCACTGGCAACCACAGTGTTTCAAATCCTGCTCTTAATGACGTCAGTGAAATGGCTCTTACCAACTTTGCCCTTGCTTTTTCTTTAGCATATCTTGAATGATACAATGACACTAAAAGGCCCTTTTCTGTGGTTTAGATGTTAGTTATTTTAAAAGCAACATAACACCTAACAACTACTATCCTGTTTTCATTCACTCTTACAAATAACTTTATCAGAAGTTACTTGCATATAATTGAGAACAAAATATTTTATAGAATATTAGAGTCATATGTTGAACTATTTGTTGGAGAGAAGTCACGTGGATTAAAATACTTTACTCCACAGTTATATGGATTAAGGACTTTTCCTTTATGGAAAGAAAAATTAGTACTTCATATGAAGGAGTCACTTACTATAAGCAGCACTAATAAATTCTGCATATCAAAACCTTAATGAGTTATTTACACTTTCCCTGCAGCTAATAGAGTTAAAGTTCGAGAAGTTTGATGTGGAGAGAGACAACTACTGCAGATACGATTATGTCGCAGTGTTTAATGGTGGGGAAATCAATGATGCTAAAAGAATCGGGAAGTACTGTGGAGACAGTCCACCAGCGTAAGTAACTTTCTTGAATTATCAACTTCACTACCACTATGGGTCATTTTCCTAACAGTTCTGTACTAGGCTTCTGAAAGATTTTTATTCTTTTTTTTTTTTTAAATTAAATATGACATTTTCTACCTCCAGTTGAATTTCTAGGAGTTGCTTAGTATCTTGTCTCTCTCTAAGTTTTCCCCTTTCTCTCTCCCTCCATGACTAGCCCTGGCTCTAACCTATGTTCTGTCCTATCCCTCAAGCCTCATTAGAGCACTGTCTAATAACACCAATACTAATGCTAAGGCTATTGATATTGGTGTGATACCAATATTAATAGTAGCTGAACACTAACATCACTTACATGTCTATGTTTTGATTGTAGATACTGAAGTACAAAGATCCAGCTGAACTCTCTAGCCCCTCAGCTCATTACTCACTTTATCTGACTCATTTCCTCCTCAGCCACTTCCCTTCTGCTGGTTCCCTGGCTTCTCCTTTCATCGCTGCTCACCGTCTCAGTCAGTGCCAAGCCATGTTCTCTCATGGCACAGACTGCTTCCCTGAGCATCCTGGGTAGCACAGTAGGCTTTCACCAGCTTTGCTATCAAATTGCTGTCCACAACCCGCCCTCAACATCCACCCCCACCTCACCTATCCCCCAAAAAACAACCCATCCCCCTGAAAAAAAAAACCCCCCCCAACCTGGCCAATGGCACTGTAACTATACAATCAGGTCTAGCAATAGTTGGTCATAATTATTCCCCAAAAAAGTGTAAAATTTTTTGAGTGAGGCTAGTAATTTTTAATTCTCCTTTACTATTGTTCCTCTTCCATCAAACTTCTTAAAGCTGAGTAGCTTTAGAAGATGAAGAGGATGCATTTTGTTTCAAGAAATACAAGCTATTAAAAAAAAAAAATTCGTGGTGGTGTGTGACTACACTTATGTCTCAGAAGTGGCAGCTAGTCTGATTCCCAAGAGCAACTAATTGTGGTATAGGGGGAGGAGGCGCATGCCTCCGTCTTTCTAAGCATGGCTTGCTAGACTGAGATTTACTGTGAGTTTTTTTTCTGGTTTTTGTTTGGTTGGGTTTTTAAAGTTATGTAGTATACCCTCAGGAGACAAGAGGGGAGGCAGACATTCTGTAGGACTCTTTTTAAAGAGTCATTGTAAAGATTTTTCTTCTTCATGCAGCAGCTATGCAGACAGTGCTAGAGAGCGAGTAAGCTTAAGCCTATGGAAATTTATTAGAAATTCGGCAAGAATTTAATTAAGGGTAGGGCTGCACCTGAAATGTATTAACTTCAGTTTCCTTCAGCCACCTTAGGCTTTTGGTCTCGAGTTACACTTTTCTTTTTTCTTTCTTCTTTCTTCCCTTCCTCCCTCCCTCCCCCTAACAATTCAAAACTTTCTACATAACAACATTTCTTTTCAGGCCCACATTTTGTAGTAAAGTTAAAAAAGGTGGTCTATAAAAAGATTCTGATAACAGAGAGTCTTTTGGGTAAGATTATTCTTTAAGTGCTAGGTAATTCAGGCCACAAAAATGCGGCAACAGGCTGAATTCTAGCTGTAGTTACATACAGAATCACTTCCTTGTTTTCAGGAAAAACTTCACTAGGAAAAGTAAACTATCTTTCTATATTGCCTCCAACCCAAAGGCTGTGAGATTGAAGGAGATTCTGCAAGGCAGAGTTAGTATTGAGTCCTCAAGGCAAGGAGGTGGCTTAGAAATCTTGGATGTTCACTTCCACCTCTTTGCCAAATGGCATTCAGAATTTTTCCATTTTTGCCTCACATATGTATTCATAGCAAAAGTGACTTCATACTTTAGAGCTTTGAGCTTTACCTGGAAACTAAGATGAATTGTTGCCTTGCTGTGCTGTGGCACTTGGAGTGACTGCTGATGGACTGAATAGGTCTCTGAATGGGCGATACGTTTCTTTCACCTTAATGTTGTAAGCATCTGTATATATTAGATAACAACAAATCACCATCATCTGAAGTAAAAACACTTCATTCCTAAAAGGAATTCTACCGCAAACACTCCTCTCTCTTTAGACAGAACAAGAAAAAAAAAAAAGACCAGCAGATGACAGACATTAGTTACATTACTTCACACTTTATCACCAGGTAGACAGGTATTCCATTGATAAGCATAGCATGAGAACCTCCTTGTGACTTTGTAGATCCATCCCTTAGAATTCAACTGTTACTACAGAACAGTAACATTTTTACTTCTAAGCTACTGTGAAGAAGCCCAAAAACTAATAGAATCTTGTATCAGAAACACTCAACTATTGATGCTTCATACAAATACCTTCGGTTCCTGCCACGAGTGTTGTGTTGTGTGCAAGTCAGATCCAAAAGGCTGGAGGAAATGGACTTGCTTCATAGTTGAACAGTTTAAGCCAGAAGCATGATTAGAGTCTAGTTTGAGTCATTTTATATGTAAGTTGTGACATTTCAGACCTTTTCCAACTGAGGTAAGAACTGAACTCCACAAGATCTTGTCCTTCCCTTGGTTCTCAGAAGGCAGCAGTGAACAACACCCCTTACAGATGTGGCTGGCAGCCTCCAGTCCCTGGGACTTAGCTGCCTCTTTCCAGCTAAACCCTAGCCCAGCTGTGCAAAGACATTTTGCACTGTCAGGATCTGGTCTTGGCTGACAGGACAGTGCAAAAGGAAGAAGTGCCAGTTAGTCCCCAAGAGGCAACAAGGAGCAGCTTCCTAAACCACCTCTCAACTGTGGCTCAGCATCTATCCCTACAGCATGTTAAAGCTGTAAATTGGTCTGCCAAACCCCAGTGGGCTTCAAAATATAAACATTTTAGTATGGACTTTGTGCAACAGGCAAATAAGGGCAGAAGACTTGGCTTAGACCCAGGCCACATAGCTTAGAGATGAGATTTCCTGTTACAGAATGTTAGAAGTGTCATGAAAAGCCAATTTTAAGATAGCATTGGTTCCTAACTGCAGATCCAATATAGAGCTTGAACACAGTCACTTTCCCTTGCAGAATTGTATATAGGCAGCTTCTATATCCAGTGAAAGAGGGAAAGCATGGCTTTCAGGGATTTTCCACTAGCTCTGCAGAATTCTCATCAAAATTTATCAGCTGGGTTCAGAAAAACAGTACCGGTGTTGCAAAAGAACTAGAAATCATGGTGCGTAAACTGAATTGTGAAACAAGCCTTTTAGAAAGAGTATTAGTTGTGTGTCTGACACAGGAATTGTGCGAGGTGGAACTCATTAACCAGCAGATACAGACAACGTAACACGGCATTCTGCAAGAGAAACAGTGCATGTCAGAAGTATGAGTAAAGTGGGTAACTTGAACTCAGTTGGTGGTTGCAGAGATGAATTCAGATCCAACTGCAGACCAGCAGGCATACAGCATAACCACGTACCTGATTCCTTAATACAATTACTATGATACGTAAATGAATGGTATGCATAATAATCACAATTTATTAGGAGAATTAATTACTCAAAAAAAAACCCTGTCTCTCAGACAAAAAGCCATTTTTAAAAAAGACAGGATACGCAGACCAGGGCAGATTTTTCAGATTTGGTGTTGTAGTCCTGGTGTTCAGGAAGCAGAGCAAAGCTCTCAGGTAGCTGATAATCTGTGACCTCCTATGTCCACAGCCTGTGGCAATACTGGAGCAAGAAAAGCGTAATCTGCAACTACAGCAGCATCTGTAAACCTATAGAATTCCAGATAACCAGGCACTTACTTTTGGTTATGTCAGACTCAGCCATCAGAGTAAACTGATTTCTGAAATGCTTGCCAAAAATCTGGGAGATGATGACAAGTTTTTACTTCAAAGGCCTGATTAAGTGTTCTGAAGAACTCCTGCTCATGAACTCTGTCCAACTTCCTGGGAAGAAACAACAGTTATTTTAGTAAAACTACAACTTAAAACCACTTTCTATTTTCCTCTCTCCTCACCAAGATTCTTTTGCCCCTATATTTATTTTTCTTCCTCTTTCCAAAAACTTGTCTTATTGCTTGAAAAATTTGTGTTAATAATTATAATGAATATTGAGACAAAGTCTGTGGAAAGCTCAAAAGAATGAGAGAAGTGCTGCTTTAGCTAGACTTGCATTCCATATGATTTTCTCGAACAGCAGTCTTAAATGAAGTCTCATTGCACTACATCCACATCCAGAGGTAGGTAGTGTCACAGAAGGTACTATGCAGTTTAAGAACTGAAAACTAATACACTCAACAGTGCCTGTTCGTGACATTTCAAATCCTAAGAAAATAACTCCATTAGCTCTTCAAAGCCTTAGTAATGAATATTGAAAAAACTAAGCCCACAGGAATAATAACCCAAAACATTTTATTTTTAGTGTTTTTGTTGAAGAATTCCAACATTGAACTAATTTTCTTAAGGCCTTCCAAATGCAGAATATGTTTTTAATTAAACAAAAACAAATTTAAAAACCCATTTACTTACCTCTACTACATACTGAGGATTTCTTTAATCTATTTTCCCACTGTGTTAATCTAGCCCCTTCCATTCCATGGACGTGAAGTCTGCAATGAAGTCACACAGAAGAATTTAAAGATACTCATATTGACACAGCCTTCAGGAATCAGAGGTTTAAATGATTCATCAGAATGAGTTTCACACTCACAACACGAGCGTCTGACATGCCAGCAAAGAAACATGCATTTCAGTATAAGACTAGGGGCAGATACTGTGTTCAGACCAATAGTTAAAGTGAAGTGCTTTCTCTTGTTTTGTAAGAATGCTATTAATGCTTTTTGACTTTGACATTCAAAACAATTATTTTTTTTCCAGGCCTATTCTGTCTGAGAGAAATGAGTTGCTCATTCAGTTTTTGTCTGATTTAAGCTTAACAGCTGATGGTTTTATTGGCCATTATAAATTTAGACCAAAAAAGTTACCCACAACTACTGTTCCGCCTACTACCACAACAGTCCCTGCTACCTCAAGTAAGTTTTACTGGCTTTATTTTATTTTTTAGAAAAATAAATTATTCCTGGAAAAAGAGAGGGTTACAGAAAAATGTAATAGTATATTAAAAGTAACAGTTTTATGGTTTGTTAGTATTTCAAATGTTTTAAAATCAATATACTCAAGAGAGTATCTTAATATACTCAAGGGAGAATCTTCTTAACAACATTATTAAAAGGAAATCTATCCAGGAAAGAGTTCAGTGTGACAGTAACTTGCTCCAGCTGACGGGCTTTTCCCATCTTTTCTCAATTTTTGATAGCTAACTAGCAAATTCCATAGAAAAATGGATGAGCAAAATTTTTTTGTATAAGAAGTGCTAATTATTTCAGGAAACAGTTTTATTTAAAAGAACTCTTTCTTCTATAAAAGTTAATATGTAAAAATCTGACTATATTTTTCTTCATACAGTTATTAAGATCAAGCAAAATTGGTATGTAAGTCACCTGAACCCTCTTCAGATTCTGTCTGCATCCTGTCAACATGACACTCTCATAGAATTATTTTTATTTTAAAGAATTCAGGGATTGGAACTCAAAGAAATGTGTCACACTAAAAATAGGTTTCCTTTTATATTTAAGACTAGACAGGATATATGAAAGATCAGAGGAGGATTTCTCTGAAGGTATTGCCAAAACTACCTCATTACTGAGATACTGAAGGGATAAATTCTTAGAATTTCTATAACCTGAATGTGAGAAATTTAAGATACAGTTATAGCAGAAAAACATAACCTGATTTGTACTTAAAACACATCAAAAGTCAGGACAGAAATGA